GTTTGTTTGAATCTTCTCATTGATGTTTAGGACTGCGATTGATCAGTTCCTTATGGGATGCAGGTACATCCATCTGACGAGTCCGAAACATATCCTAGATTCTACTGCTAGCCACTATCAATCTTTGCTTATAATGCTTGTAACTTAAGGCAACACGCACGGTATGCACATATGCCAATAAGAGACTGATCAGTTGCAGTTTTAAACATCACTGGGAGGATTCAAGTAAACAATACCACGTGAATTTAAATTCCTGTTCATTGCATTACTAAATAGTTATCTTTTTTTTAGAAGTAATACAGACCATAGTTTTTGTTGTTGTTGTGCAAATGTGCATTAATATGTGCTTGTAGAATATGCTTGCCAACTACTCTCTTATCAAATAGTGTTTAGCATCGCTTCTTATCTGTATGGTTCCTACTTTCAATTTCATCTTTAAAAATTATTAATTTATTTATTATAGTCCCTATGATTATAAATGATTTAATACTGTCGTTTATTTTTCAAGATACCACATTCGTCGGATGACTGAATAATAATTTTACGTTTTTTTGGTATATATATATATATATATATATATCATTGTAACCAAAAAACCATTTTGTGCTAATTTACACGTAAATAGATGTACTGTAGATATAAATCAATAAATTCTTAAAATTACACTAATTTAGATACTATTGTTGATAGTTTTGATTGTATAAATGAAAATGATCATTAGTGGTTTTGTTAGCTATTTATAATGGACTATTTTAATTGCCCAGGATCCAATGTTGACACAACCCTATTGTATATTTCTTATATATAGATTGTATGATGGTTCAATGCTGAACTATTACTGAAGTATATCACCAACGTTTGCTGTACGCGTCCTATATAGTCTGTGTAAAGAATACACGAATTGAACTACTGTTTTCGGTGATGTCCATGAAGCAACTTTTAGGAAGTTTATAAAGTGTTAGAATCTGTTTATGGTGATAACTAACTGGGGGAAAAAGATACTTCAAGTAGATTGAATTTTCTAATGAGAATTACAAGAATAAATCGAAGTCAGATTTGGTATCAACTTTCAATGTTGATATTCTATCTGTCCAGTCTTTTGTGCTCTTTAGTAACTTATTTACTGTCCAGATTGGTGACGATTACTATGCACACTGTTCAGTTAAATTGTTTGAAGTAGAGGAACGACAAGGTAGATGGAGGTTTTGTTAAAAACACGGGAAGATTTTAATCAAAGTCAATGGAAACAGGACAAGCTTACTGCTACCAACTAAACTTATTTAAAAGAATTAAGATTGACATGCCCTATATTCTGTAAAGTAGTTTTCATGATCCCGTTACGGGTGGACCAAACTACTTACGAAAATAATTTTCTTGTTTATTGAATAATCATCAGATTTTGATAATACTAGTCGTATGTAAAGAACCTTCGCTTCACCACTAATATTTCCTGAGCTGGATGGGAAGATTGCAAGTATTGAAAAAAAGTAGGTACCTGAAGCTCTAAAGTGAATCTCATCATTTATGACTGAAAACAATTTACCCAAAAAAAATAACACAATAGTTTTCAATTCTCAGGATTTTCCAGTGTAATGGAAACCGACCAATTGTTGTGTATGAATAAAACAACAAAATATTGTGAAGAATGAGTTATACCCGAAATCCATACCATATAGCCATTCTAAAATAACATTGGAATAGGCTCTACTAATGTAGAGGTACTTAAAAAGTAAAAAATACTTTAGAACAATTACGAGATATATTTATCATAAAGTTATATTTTACCTCTTCTGTCTCATTGAGGCACCATAAAAAGACCGGGAATAAAAATGTTTACAAAGTAAATACACTAGTAAAAATAGAATTCACTTTTCCATCTTTGTCAATAAAGTAAATAAGCAACTAATCCTACTGTATAAATTATTTAATCACAAAAATACTTGTGAGTACCACTATTAAACTACACTAACGTTGTTAAATCATTGGATATAGTCATACACTTCTACAGATTATATAATATATTATAAGATTTGTTTTATAAAATAGTAGTGTCTTAATATTTTACTTCACTTTTCCATGAATCCCCCTGCTTTCTTCTCAGTATTGAATAATCAGTTATTAAAACATATTTCTTTAAAGTTTATGTGGAAAAAAGATACACTACTCTATGATGTAGATGTGCAAGGGATATGTGAGGTTTATTTCATTTTTAATTAAATGTATTCCCTTTCATTACTTTTGTTCTTCCAGGTGACTTATGAAGGAAATCAAAATGACCTCCCAACTCTTAAATCTGCTCTTTCTGAATGGTGGCTCAGACACTCAGCTAGAATAACCTGTATCAGTTGGAGTCCAAATGGTCGTCGCTTGGCCACTGGAAGTATTGATAGTTCTATTGTTATTTGGTCATTAGATGAACCAAGCAAACAGGTGGTTTTGACAGGTAAGTGATTTCACGTCAAATTTATCTTACACTAAAAGAAACTGGTCATAATTGAATTGAATGATTTGTGTAGTCTACATCATCTATTCCATATGTTGGGAAAATCACAACTATTCTAACTTGATGTCTTAGAATATTAAATACTTGGAAAGTTGATTATTTTACATGGTTGACACATTAATTCTGTAAAAAACTTTTCGGTAAATTATTGATGAGCTGTATAATTGCTTGTATTAATTTAGTATGTTTATGAGCAATATTTCCGGCAACAGTAGGTCAGTTTTACAATTGTAAAGAAATATGTTTTTTGAGATGCTAATTGATCGTGATTTTTCTTTTTGATGTAATATCTTCTAATCTTTTTTTAAGTCTTAATCACTCAGTTGTCGTAAAGTATACATTAGGATGTTGAACTTTTAGTTATGGTTTCACTATCTGTGTACCTGTTTGTGAATACTTGAAGATTATGCCAACGTAAAACTAAGTGCAATAGAAGAAATGTATAAGTCAATATCTGCACTTATTGTATGTACTCAAATTTTGAGCTTGTTTCCATAACAATTTACATCAATGTTAAAATTAACAAAATTACTAAATTTAACTTAAGAAGAAAGCTAAAACCTCTTGACAATTTGTCAGTAAAAATCTTCATAACTGTAACCACAATTAAATCCGTTGACAGTGTACGGTTATTTATCAGCTTATAATCCATACGTTCCTTTGGTTTACTTGCTTCTACTCTATTATTTAAATGTCATTGAGAATCGATGGCTAGTGATCTGAGTTTTAGGTAACGCATTAACATTTGAAATAAACTGGAAATGTTGAGGGTAATGTTCAAGAACTTGATAGAAATTGTAGTTGGAATCATTATCTTAGAATTCATCATCTGTTCTGTCTACCTCATTAAATCGACACAGAGTCTGGCTCACAGCTATAACTAGAAGACTTAATTCATTCGTTTCTATGATAATAAACTTAGTACTACAACTAATTAATACAGTTATCCCAGGGAAAATGTACACATTAATATATTAACGTAACGTTGAGTGATTATAGTAGTAACATTTATGTTTTCAGAATAAGCTTAAAACTGGGACTTCATCGACTGAATTATTTCTTTATAAAACATGACAAACAGGTGTAATTAATATTCCTATGGATTGATAAATTCGTCTACGTGATTATTTCTTTTTATTTTAAGCGGCTCATCCTATGAGTAATAGCACTGGATTATGTTGGCTCAGTGACGATCGTTTGTTAAGTTCAGCACACGATGGAAGCATTCGTATATGGCGTGTGTAGAATAAAGTACAGTTCGTATTCTATCAGTCTCTTGAAATGGTGTTTCCCAGAATATTTGTTTACAATTTGATTCATGTACTTGTTTCCCGCTTTCAATATTTATGTAATATGAAGTGTTTTGGCTTTCACTTTTTTTCTTGAATACCAGTGTTTTATTTCTATCGAGTCAGTTTTTAAAAAAAAAACTAAAATCTTTTTTAGTCTAAACAAGCTTTTCTTCGCTTTTTATAATTCAATAGACACTTAACTTATATAGATATAATTCCGTGGATGTCAATGTCATATTTGACAAAACTGCGGTTACAGACCGGGAAAATTCATAAAACTTATTTGAGCTTAACCGGAGTGCGATTGAAGATCGACTGTAATAGCTGCAATCGCACCGATGACTAAGTAACTTATTGTCTGGATTGGGATTCACTTAAGTAGTATAAAGATTTGAATTCCTGTACACAAAGTGAGCGGTCTGAGACTGGCTTCATATCCGTCCAGGTATCTGTATAGAACTATTAAATGAACTGACACACTTGACTAGGCCGTTGCATTAACCTGTACAACTGGGCAGATAGTAAAACACGTATACAAATATCGATATTTCACGAGTGTTAGAGGTTTTATCTGTGTATACGTCTTTACAGAATATCGCAACTATCAATTACCTTGGTGATAGATACTTATAAAGTACAAAGAGTTTTCTTAATCAGTTAAACAGGACGTTTTTTAATCTTCAAATTGGTCAGTTCGTTGAATTTCGTAAATTTTAAGTTTATCACCAGTAAAATGTTTTCAACTTTTAATAGTTCGTCCAAAATTTGCGGATATCCATCATGTTGCTTATATACTTACTTTTAGAAAAATCCAGTCTCGGCGATTTTAATGCATTTAACTATTCAAACTAGACTTCTAAAATGTAGTAACCCAATGATACAACTGTCTATCAATTAATCCATCAATGAACAGACAACTTATCTGAAAATCATACGCGAAGATCTACTTTTAAATATTTTTCAAATGATTGTTGTTTGTGATAAAAATGTGCAAATCAAACTCGACAGACTTTAATAAATCACGAACTAGTTATAAAGCTACTGCGGCACAAAATCCTGCGTAGATGTTAAAGCAGCATAATCACTTTACCAATTAAAACTTTCATTACAATTCAGTCACAAGAGAATGAACCATGTTTAAGTTTTTGTATTTGAAAACAATTGGGGAATTATTTTTAAAAAATATTAGAAATAGTATATTGGACCTATAAGTTTGAGCCTACAATCTTAAGGCATTCATCTGAAAATTCGACGAAAATAGGTTCACGCATAACATTTTCCAATGCAGAGTACGGTTTATTTGTATCATTCAAAAATCGAAGCAGACTTCGAAGATGAGGGTTCTTCAGTAGATCTCGAATTTTATCCGAGTATTCTGCGTAAAAATGACAATTAACAGTAACACTTACTTAAACCTTCTAAAATTTTCTTCGGAACATAGTCGACCATCTCATCCTCTTGTTCGACAGTAGCATGCACAACCCTTGGTACACAGTTTTCCGGTTTGCACTCATCTTGTTTATGTTTTTGGTAGCAGGCAAGTGAGCAACTAAAGTATTAGTGAACTGACAATTCAGCATACTATGGTGCAATACACCTCGGGCATTTGTACTTGGAAGTTTCAATTGAACAAATTGCGCACAAAACCATTTCGTTAAAGGTCAAGGTCTTCTTATAGATATCAACTGAGTATTTTAGTTTGTCTGAAATAAAAACATTTTAGATACAAAATCGTTCTCGAGTGAAGCGACAAAAGAATGTGCTAAATTTTCTTCGTGACAACGTTTTGGGACTTTATGTTCACCATTATGAAGTTTCTGGGTGAGAGAAGTGGGCATGGTGGCGCTTGTATTGTGTTAGGCGTTTCTCTTTATTCGTCCTTACTTTTCTAGTCTTAAGAAACTCAATTCTCTAGAACAATACGGAATAAACTGACCTGCCATAGACTTTTAAATTCTTTAGAACACGTGAAACTTGTCGCAACCACGCATGATTGTAGTTGCATAACGCAACATAACTCCTATTTTACCCGCAGGTCTTACTATTCCCGGGCATTTTGATTTATTCACGACTGTGTAAGACTATCATGGTATCCTGTTTCAATATTTTATATTTTCATTTCAAGATATTATAGAAACGAGTATGCTCATTTATGTGAGGATCTCAATAGACGTCCCAAATCGCGATTAAGCGAACAGGCTGTCTTACGAAAATGTATTAAGAAACTAGCTTTAAACTAGATACAAAAAATATATATACCTAACGGACCTATTTTCGTGTGAGGCAGAAGTTTATTTACTTTTCTTATATCAAGGACGTAAAGGATCAAAGTTGTATTTTAGGTAATATCTGAAAGACGACGCATGTCACTGAATTAAACAACCTGAAGGGCCCTAGACAGGGAGTCGCAAAAGTCTTAAGAATGCCATTCTACTAGTCTTTGCGAAAAGCGATCTTGGGTCATAGACTAACTAGCCATCAGCTTTCATCTCAAGTTCAAGAGTCGTTGATCGAAGCATTAAATAAAAACATCTGTGATGATATTTTAAGCATAACGATGCCGCCAGTCAGCTTCAATATGACTTTACATGAGTAATTATCACCCAGCGTTAACACATGGCGTTGTGGCACTGTTTTCAGATACAATGTACTAAAGTTAGATTAAGATTATTGGTTATAAAGTACAGTTTCGAAAACTATGTAGGCTGAATAAGCAACGATATGAATCAAGGTAAGGATATAATATACTGACGAGATTGAGCACTTTATCAGACAATCACGAAAAGTTTTCTAGTTATATAGAATTTATTAGGAATTAACAAAATGAGATGAAGTCAACATATTAGGAGGACAATGTTGTGCGTACCATAGAATTACGAAGTTTACGCCACAAACTGACAGCAGCTAGAATACAAAACGGTCAGGGTTATGCATTAATAGTTAAGGAACATGCTTTGTAAATTAGCTAACATTAGAATTAAGGATCCCATGACGAGTTGACATCAGCTGTAGTGCAACGACGTCATACGAACACTTCGTTTACAAATCTATCGCTAGAATTGAATGTGAGCAGTAAGAGCAGGAAATTTTTCTCCGCTCTTACTGCGGTTTAAGCCATCTAGCCACATTACACAACCTTAAATATGCATTGGGTACCTGACACGATACATACATCGGGAACAAATATTCCATGCGATTTAACTCAAGCGTCTTATATTTGCTGATTGCATGAATAGCAGGAAATAAGTCTTTTATAATATGAATGATTATATATATACAGTTTAAATAGAGCACTATTTACTCGACCTGTTTTAGTTGGTACTGTGTGGATGAAAGACGACGATTCCTTGTTCTGGCACGCTCAACTTAAAAATATATTATAAACCATGTGGTATGTCCCTTAATCAGAGCGGGACAAACGACCTTCAACAATTTTGAGAAGTGTACATAAATATTGAACGACGAACTTTGTATCACGAAATTTATAAACCATTGCATTACGAAATGTGCCGTAAGGTTTTAGAAATAAAAAAATCCCTAAAATAAATAGTTCTGTAAGTCTTGGATGTTAGATTCTGACCATATTAGTTTCAATGAACTTGCCTAGATGAAGGCGTCTGTCATGTTTCCATATCAGAGCACAAGTGGGATCGCCGTGCTCAACATCACCTGCAATCGCTAGCCAGCTTGGATCAGTCGATCCTCAATATATTCATAACCTATCAAATACATCTTTGAACTTTCTCGCTTGTGTCTTTTTATTTCACTTGATGTTAACGATTCATAGTAGGTGTTACTGGTTAAAGTGTTCTCAATTCCAAATACATGTGGTATCTTCTATGTTATCATGAGGTTAAAAGCTACTAACTTGGACTTCATTAGAAATATAAAAGAGCTGGAATTATTGTTGAACACCTTGCTTTGACGATTTAAGGCACGGTATAGTTTGCAAGAATTTTTTTTGAGAAATTTTTATTCCTCATTCTATGTTTTCCTAACAAACATTCGAAGCTGATGTTTGATCATAGTAAGGGGATATGACGCAAATAATTTTATTAAATATGACTTGAAATAACCATTGATCTGCCGATGAAATAAACACGTTATTTTCCATTGAACATACAAATTTGCTTAAGAAAATCAACGTTGTAGCAGTTAATATATCCGCAAAATAAATGGCTCCACAAGTGTTCGATATTGGATGCTGACCTCTTGTCTTAATTGGCTCACCTAGCTGTAGGCGCTCGGTCATGCATCCGGACCAGATCACGAGTGAGAACGCTGTGATCAACATCTACTACAATCGCTAGTCAGACTAGATCAGACAATACAGATATATTGACAGTCGTCAAATACAACTTTTGTCTCCTCGATTATGTCTTTTGATTTCTCTTGGTTGGTACGAGTAATATTAGGTGTTTGTGATAAAAGTGTTGTCGAACACTGAATACCTGTGCCATTTTCACGAATATTTCGATATTTCTATAAAAATAGCTGCACAATCCACGATCACTATAATTTAAACCGATTTAGATTGGGTTACACGAAAATCTGTAGAATTATGGTTTACTATGATATTAGTACTTTTCTAATAATAGACCTAACCCTAAAATTTTTGATCTGTCATGATGTAACTGCCTAATCTATAAGATCTTACGTGGAAGTCGCATCATCGTCTACACCAACTCACTGTATCGTAACAACTACCCATACATGATGAAGAACAAGCTTAAGCTACAGAAAGAACAATATATTTAATGTGAATAATAGATATAAAGTAATATTCAGCAAGGATCACGCCTGTATGGACAAGCCATGCCATTCGATCAACTCCAATTCATTAAATTCCTCGTTCACACCTTCTCCATCGTTAGGTATTTCTCCGTGTTCAATATTGAATATTTATTTTCTAAGTGATCTCGTATTCAGCTTTGAGGATTGTGTGGTTACATTCCAATGCCCCTACAAATCTACTTGATATTCTCTTACAAGGGCATGAGATCAGTTATCGGGTGCGTTTTATTTCGATACCGGTTAGGTCTTAGCATTTCGCATTAAAAACAGAAGTCCTACAACCTATGTAATTCTTTTTCTAGTATGCTTCTGTGAATATCTAGTCTTCTCTCGAATGAGTCAATCGCAGTTCCGGACACCACTGCTTCGAGTAACAGGTTCCAAATTTTGATGGCTCGATGAGAATTCCTGTATGACACGGGTATTTTGTTCGTTCTTGGTTCTCCTAATAGCATGCTATGTTCTCCAAGATGTTCTGATTTAGTGGGAATAAAAAGAGGGGACACATCACGTTCAAAATCCTAGTATTCTATACATCGAAATTCTGCGATACGACTGTAAAAATGTTCAAATTTTCAAGCCCCTTTGCGTATGGTGAACCGAGGAGTTTTCGAATTTCACGGATACCTCTTATACTAATGCTCCTGAGTCAATTATCCTGTTTTCAGCCTATGCAAGAAAGCTGATTGCCTTCACCCCTACCTTCCATGTATTAGGACAAGTTGTCGCGACTGTTTCACAGTCTATCTTAGCCACGAATTCGCATAATCATTTCTATCTGGAGGACGGATTAAAAGTACTTGAATGAAATCACCATGTGATGATTAGATCCAAGAGAGACGAGGGGCTTCGTAATTCATGTCTGGTGACATCACTAATGTACTGGAATAAAGCGAGGGGAGTTTTGGTTTATCACAATTTGTAATCAAATGGTGTTATTAATGACCCCACTTCTAAGTTTCCCCCGATTTATTTAAGTTTCTTACTATTAGGATCTTACATCTATTTCAAGTGAACTTACGTATTCTTAGAGGGTCTGTCTTGACGCGTTTTATAATTTTAATTCATGAAATCTTCTACTCCCTGCAATCCGATTTCATGTCGGACGCAGATTGCGCACTCCGTTTACTCAATTGTCATTTTCTGTGTTATTGTAATCACATCATCTAACTTCTTTCTCCTGATCATATGATCTACACTACTCTGCTTCATCGCAGACTGTTTTGCATCGAAATGTCCATCCGGAAGAGGATACAAATAGCTCAGTACTGCCTATAATTTATTTCTTCCTTTTTTCTTGAAATAATACCTACACCTTTATGACTGTTTCCCGGTTCTTAAATGGAGCCTACCCTGATGGCCTCATTCAAATCCGAAGCTAGGTCCGCGATAACACTCCATATTTCTTCAAAAACTGAAATTTGCTAAGGTATCGCTGCCTGTTTGTCTGAGAGCAGTTTTCTAGCTATATTCAACAGCTCAATCTCCTCAAGAATAACTAGACAGTTTGTAGAGCAGCATGCTTACACAGCCAACGTGATAGTGGTTTGCAAAGCCTTCATGCAGCCGGTGTGTTACTGATGCACAAATTATGATAACACTTATTGCACTTGTCAGATTGCATTTCATCTCAGACAGAGAAACGGCATTCAGGCCTCCCACAACGATGTTTCACTTGAGCTATAAATAGATTTATGATCTCACAGGAAGAACACTAACAAAAACTGTTCTCCAGAAAAATGTGTTTTAACAAGTGATGGAAATTGAACACACAAAATACAGAGGATTGTATACAACTAGTGTGGCGCCGAGTCGCGGTTGACTAGGATCACCACTACAGAAAAACAACGTGCCAG